AAACCTCATTATGGGGACCCACCAAGTGGATAATCCACCCTCAAAGCACTCAGATATTCACTCAACAGGCTTTGGGGTGTGTGTGTGTGTGTGTGTGTGTGCATGCGTCTGCTTACCGCATGGCTGTCACCCTCCTGTGCACTAAGAAAAGAGGTCAGAGGGAATTTACAAACAAGAAGTCATATTCCCTGACCTAAGGAGGGTTGGTCTCCTGCAGGAGATGGCAGTAAACAAGTCCCTGTGATTAAAATGGAATCTGCTGTCCAAGGAAGAGCATTTGCTCTGGAAGCCCAAAGGAAAAAACAGGTCATTTTTGGAAGGAGGGAGAATGAGAAGACTGCCTTCTGATGGCTTGTGAGGTGCACCTGGAAGGCAGATCCAAATGGAGTTCTGTACCATCCAGGGAACAGGGAGGTGGCGTGACCTGGTGTCACAGGAGGAGAAAGACCTGATTGGTTTTCCCCTTAGAGCAAATGCAAATGCGGGTCAACCCCAGCACCCCTTCCCCTGAGCTCCAGGCTCCTGGCGTGGTCTCCCTCCATCCCAACAAGACAGATCTCGCCTAAGTTCTCCAGGAGCCAGTTCGTCTCCACTGGTTATTTCTGAGAGCTAAAAACATTCACCCTGGGGGAAAAAAAAATTCCTGTCCCTGTCCACAACAGAGTGTGTTTTGAATCTCTAACTGGATTCCAGGCTCATTTCTCTGGGACCCCAGAACCCGGAGCTCTCTCTCCACCCGAGCCCTGTGGTGTTTGGGGCCTCTCTCTTAGGGGACAGCCCCTGCAGACCCTTCTGAGTCGGCTGCTGTTTGAAAACTGAAGGGGGAAGAAGATGGAGAGGAGGCCGCTCTCCCGGCCGCGGGGCCTTTTCCCCTGGCTCTGCGCTGGCTCTGCGGTTGACGCTCAGCAATGATCCCAGGAGCCTGGAATTTGAGGAATTTCCTGCCCCTGCTGAAAGACCTAGCAATTAGGCCTGCAGTTTCCACCCCGGGCCTCCCTCCACCCAAGTTCAGTGGCCCCAGGGAAAAGCAGCGTCCAGAGCTCTGCCTGGGCACATCTGCGGCCTGACCGTCCATCACAACGGTCCCCTACACAGTCACCCCCACTGCCACCCCCCATCACCCCCTTCCAACCACCCAAAGTCTCTGCCAAATGCCCCACAGCCTTCCTCGGCCCGCCTGAGTGTAGAAACGATAACACAGCACAGAGTTCACTCCCTCCTGATTCCACCTGGTCCTTCTAGAATCTTCCAGGGATAATTCGATGCTTTTTGGGTTTGCTTCCTCTCCTCCAACACCGCAGGAGCCAAGCCTGGGTCCTTGTTCCTCCATCTTTTTGCCCCTCTCCTCCCTTCCCCTGGGCCCACACGTCCTGACTTCTTGGATTCACGCCTTTGCTCAGCGTCTGCTCCAGGCCCAGACACGGTGGGCCTTGCTCTCGGGCAGTGTGCCTGACCTGGGGACTTCTAGAAAGCAGGGTGGAGGCTCTGTGCCTCGGTTTCAAGCCAGAGATATGGGGACAGGAATGAGGAGGATGCTCCCAAGTCGTCTAAATGAATCTTATGTAACTTTGCAGCAGCAATAACAGAGGCGAATTTCTCCTCCTCATCATGTGTTGTTCAGGCTCATATTCAAGTTGGGTCCTATTCTCTCTTGACGCGTCAATCGCCGTCACATCAACACCAGGTGCCGGGGGCAAAACTCAACCGAGGATTGAAAACACTTGCCACAAATCGTTCTCCACCGGAAAGTCCCAGCAGCACCCGAGGAAGGGGTGCCGTCCCCTTTAACCTTCCCCTCAGGACTGCAGCCCTCCCTGAACCCCAAGTCCTGTGTCCCTCCCTGAACCCCAAGTCCTGTGTCTACATCTTCAGTCTAGTGCCTTTGGGGGGCAGTACTGGGGACTGGACCTAGGGGGCGCTCACCGCCGAGCCACATTCCCAGCCCTTACTGTCTTGAGACAGGCTCTCGCCAGGTTGCTGAGGCTGGCCTCAAATTTGTTACCCTCCGGCCTCAGCCTCCGAGTTGCTGGAATCACAGGTGTGCACCACCGCCCAAGGTGGGCTGGCCCATTCTCAACCCCTTCGACAGTGCCACCGCCTCCCTTGGTTTTCACTCTTCCTCTACTCAAGAGTCAAGTCTGAATTTTGGCTGCCCAACGTCCCAGAGCAGCTGACTGGGTAGAACCTGGCCCCACATCTCCCCTCTCTGCCCACGTCACCTACCCTTCACCTACCCTCTCGTGCTCATGGGCCGGCTCACTCACTTCCAGGGGGTCCAGGACAGGGGCCAGGAAGCCTCCCACCTGCCCACAGGTCTCCCCCAGGGCCTCACCTCCACTCCTCTCCCCTCTCAGCGCCCAGGCTGGAAAGTGGGGCAGCACATGGCCCGGCCTCCAGGCCTGTCCCCCACCCCCAAACAGGGGCCTCCAGTCCTGTCTCCCACCCCCAAACAAGGGCCTCCAGGCCTGTCCCCCACCCCCAAACAGGGGCCTCCAGTTCTGTCTCCCACCCCCAAACAGGGGCCTCCAGGCCTGTCCCCCACCCCCAAACAGGGGCCTCCAGTCCTGTCCCCCACCCCCAAACAGGGGCCTTCAGGCCTGTCCCCCCCCAAACCCTCTGGGCCATAGGGCAGTCTCCTGCTCCCCGGCCTCCCCCCCCCTTCCTCTGGGCCGTTCTCCCAGCCTCCGTTCTCCCAGCCTCCGAAGAACAAGACTCCTCCATTAAGAAGGAAATCAAAGCTCCCCCACTGCTTCAGTGGGAAGTTCACTACCTGAGATCCCCCTGGCTCTCAAGACCGTGGCCTTCTGAGGTTGGGGGGTGCCGTCCCTCACCACCACCCCCCCGCCACGGTCCCTTCAAACAAAGCTTTTCTCTCGGGTTTTGACCCTGATGAAGATTTTTAACTGGAATCCCTTCTTCTTCGTCGTCGTCTTCTTTTTTTTCCTTTCTCCCTTTACTCTGTAATTCTGAAAGATCTTTTGTCTTCTCAGTAAAAAAAAAAAAAAGAGAGATCGGGAGGGTATCTCCCCCTCCTTGTAAGTAATTGAGAAAGAGGTTTTCTGTTGTTTGTTTGGAGAGAAAGAAAGAAAGAAAATCAGTGCAGAACTATATTCTTTCTTAAAAATTCTTTCTTATATCGACATAAAGGAGAAGGGGTGTGTTGGCTCACTCCTGTAATTCTAGCAACTTGGGAGGCTGAGGTGGGAGGATCACAAGTTTGAGGCCAGCCTCAGCAACTTAGCAAGGCCCTGAGTAACTTACGGAGACCCTGACTCAAAAACACAAAACGTAAAGGGCTGGGGATGTGGCTCAGTGGTAAAGCACCCCTGGGTTCAGTCCCAGGTACCAAAAATGATGAATCAGAAATCAAGGAGAGAAGTCTTGAACATGTGAATGGAGAATGGCGGCCCGAGAGGGAGGGTTAAAAGGGTAACAGAGAAACTGAGGAAGGGCTGCAAAGGCCTCCACAGAAGGAGCAGGAAGGGTGAGGAGAGATGCCCCCTTCCTGGGCCGCACTGAGCAGCTTCTCCAACTGGGAAGTGAGAAATGACCTCGGATCCCCCCACACACACAGGAAGAAGACCTTCAAGGGTCCTGCACATCATAGCACCTAAAAGGGCCAAGCATACAGTAAGCACTCAAACCATGTGGGGTTAAACAAAACAGGGCTGTTGTGGCAATTATCTCTTTTTTTTTTCCTTTTCCCCCAGGACCAAAAGAAAGGCCCAGTGGAAACCAACAGGGAAAGAAATAAAGAATTCAGGGCTGGCCTCACCTGGCTAGGGCAGGGTGACCAACAGAGAGGTCCCCCGTGTCAGCCCCTCTGGTCAGCCAACCCCTCTGTCTTCCCTAGACCTCGGCCTCTCCCTCATCTGGCGAGGCAAGACCCATCCATCGAAACGCTGTCAGCTCTCAATTATTCAAACACAGGATCCTCACTTTGGAGATTATCCATGGAAAAATCTTAATCCCGGGCAGGCTGGGTCCCTTTGCCACCCAGGATGTCTCGGTTGTCAGTCTTGGTGGGAGCAGGGAATTAGAAACTCATTTAAGTAGCAGTCCGAGTCAACTCTAATAAGCAAGGCAAATCTGATTATTATCATCATCATTATCACCAGGATGCATTCCAAAGTTTGATGGAGAAAATAAAAAAACAGAAGGTTAAAAAAAATCAGAGACTGGGTGTTATCCCCGAGGAAGCTCCCCCTCCTCCTGGGTCAACTGGGTGTTAACTATATTTACCGACGGCCTTTAATCTGGACAGCTCTCTACAGCCTCTGGTGCATCTTTACGGTGCCTCTAAAGGAAGATTAGAGACAATTTGTGATATTTGTTTCCTTAAAATAGTAGCTGACTTTCTCACTGCTGTCTTACGATTTTTCCAGTTTCATGTAGTTTAGCTCACTTAATGAGTTTACTGACTTCATCAAAGATTTGAGGCCACACACCTCTGTACACCTTTGGTCGGTTATAGAAAATATCGATAAAGCCGGGCACAGTGGCACAGGCCTAGAATTAATCCCAGCTCCTCGGGAGGCTGAGGCAGGAGGATTGCAAGTTCAAGTTCAGCCTGAGCAACTCGGCAAGACCCTGTCTCAAAATAAAACAAAAAGAGCCGGGATGTAGCTCAGAGGTAAGGTGCCCCTGAATTCAGTCCCCAGGACTGCAAATACTAGTCATAAGTAAATATGATACAATATAAATTAAGACTAGATGCTGGATGGGTTTGGTGGTGTTTAGGGGAGCAAATACAGACAGGAGAAATGAATGGAGGTGGGGGAAACCTAACCCAGGAAACACGCGCCACAGGATCTCCCATGCCTCTTCAGAGGCCAATGGCAAGGTCCAGTCCCGAGCTTCCAGGCACCCAATGCAAAAAAGGAAAAATGCAAAATCCGTGACATAATTTATTGTGTCTATAAAACAAAAACCACCCGATGACTTAGGAAAAGTACTGCCCCGGAACTTTCACCCACAGATCCTCATAAAAGGACACTAGGATGTGTTGAACCATATCCTGGATGACATCCCTGCCATAAATACTCCAAGGGTTTTCACAGGACTGCTCTTTAGAACATTCCTCACTCGGGGCAGGCTGGTGGCACTAGGCCAGATGCTCAGCTCAGGAAAAGCCGTTCCTGAGGGGGCCCAAACCGTCGGACTGTCTGGCTTGGTCCAGGGATAAAACTGTGAGTTCCTACAGGAACGGACTGGAGGTGGGCTGTGGCCGTGGGTGGGAGAGCGAGGACATAAAACAGGACTCTTCCGACTTAGCTCTTTCAGCCCCCAGCTCAGAGCTGCCTCCTGAGATTAGAGGAAGGAGAGGACATCACGGCCCTCTCGGATAGTCACAATTTCTGGGGAGGCATCTGAAGACAGGGGGAGGGAGAACCCAGAGGATTATTCCACGAGGGAGATGGGGCAAGGGGCCACGGGCTACTGTGCTGTCTGGGCTGGGTGAGGGGCCCTGGGAGACTCGGCTAAGAAGGAAGAAAGCTCTGTCTGCTGGATTGAGGGGAAGGAAGGGAGGGAGGGAGGGAGGGAAAAGAAAAGAAATAGAAATAGAAATAGAAATACTGCCGATACACCTAGCCCCATAAATATCAGCTCAGCTTTTGGCATCTTGAGGTCTGGAAAAATCCCGAGAAGAGTCACAGAAAAGCCAGTGGCAAGAGACAATGAAGGCCTGGCCAGCGGGCACTCTCCTGGGGGAACACCCCAGGCACCCCCACAACCCAGCGGCTGGAGGGCCCAGTCCACACAGGCTGGACCCAGAGGCCGGCCTCACCTGGAACAATCCAGGAAGGAAGCAAGCTCACAACCCAAGCATCAGGTACTCGGGGTGTCCAGAAACGCCCCCGTTTATCTGACCAAAGACCTCTTCATCCTACAAAGACCCTATTTTACCCCCCAAGGGAGGGAGAGAGCCCGGTGCCGTGGCATCAACCTGCTAATCCCAGCAATTGGGGAGGCTGAGGCAGGAGGATCGTAAGTGAGAGGCCAGCCTGGGCAACGTGGCAAGACGCGGTCTCAAAATAAAAAAAAAAAAAGAAAAAGGGCTGGGGGTGTGTAGCTCAGTGTAGCGTGCCCCTGGGGGAGAGCCCCAGTACCAAAAAAAAAAGAAAACTAGGGGCCAGGAGAGAAAGCTTGTCCAGCCTTGTCTGACTGAGGTGCCGGGGCTGCAGGGAAATCCCCAGGAGAGGAGAGACAATGGGGTGCAGGGCTGGTGTTCCCCGGCTGCTTCTCTGAAATCCTCTTCAGGAGCCCGGGGAAGGAGTGGAGGGTGGAGGAGGAGAGGGCGAGCAGCCATCTCGGGCGGGCATCTCGGGGTCGTCCCCTGACAATGGCCAGGAGGAGGGAACCTGCAGCCTGTTACTTAATTATCTCTGAATGGTTTTTGTTCCTGGCTTTAAACATTTACCCCTATTGGGTGTGCACGGCTTCACAAGCTCTCTATCTCCTTTTCTTTGCCGTCGCCATGGCAACGACTCCAGGCCTACAAGGGCTCTCTGATTTTAAATAAAAGTTGAGGTTTCTCCCCCCCCGCCCCCACCCCCACCTTTCCCTCTCTTTCTAGGGGATGAGGTTTCTCTCTTCCCTCCACCTTCCCCTCTGCCCTCGGCTCCCCCGCCCCCGCCCAGCGCCCAGGGGCTCCTTATCATCATCACCTCCTTCTCTCATTACCTCCTTCCACCTGCCTCCTCTCCAACCCTCTCCCATCTCTGGACTTGCAAGCCCTAATCCCCTGGTTGCCAGGACGGCAAGAGAAGGGGTGCTGAGGAGGGAGGGGGTGCTGAGGAGGGAGGGGGTGCTGAGGAGGGAGGGGGTGCTGAGGAGGGAGGGGATGCTGAGGAGGGAGGGGGGTGCTGAGGAGGGAGGGGGTGCTGAGGAGGGAGGGGGGTGCTGAGGAGGGAGGGGGTGCTGAGGAGGGAGGGGGTTGCTGAGGAGGGAGGGGGGCAGAGGTGGACAGATCAGGGCCTCTCTGGAAAGGGCGTCACCCTATATGCTGTGGGGATCACCCCCTTCCTCCAGCAGTTAGTGGGCAAGCAGGTTCCTTCGGTTACCACCCTGAGGCCCCAGGAACTGTTCCCGCCCCCCCCCCCCACACACACACACACACTAGGGCTTGACCCCAAGGGCTGAGCCCCAGCCCCAGCCCCCTTTCTAGTCTTTATTTCGAGGCCGGGTCTCACGGGGTGGCTGAGGCTGCCCTCCAACTTGCCATCCCCCTGCCTCGGCGCGTCACGAGGATTACAGAAATGGGCCTCTGGGTCCTGTCCTGTCACGGAGGACATCAGGATCTGTGCCATGGGGGGCGAGGGGTGGGGGAGGCAGCAGTAGATTTCCAGAGAGTAGGGAAGGAGGTTGGCTGGGGAGGAGGAGGCCAAGGGGGAGCCTCCAGTTCCAACCCGGCTCTAGGCCAGTGACTCACTCACCCTAAGGTCCTCCTGGGTTTTGTCTCTTAACAGGGAGGGGTTGGATTAAATCTGTGAGTTTCCAACTCTTTTCAGGTGCCCCGGCCCTCCCAGGAGGTGGCTGGCCGCTATGGCAGGGCTGGGGGGTGGCCGGCGAGAGCAGCAGCCAGCACCTGGCCCCTCCAGGACTCCCGCGGAGTCCCTGACCACAACCCCAGGTGTTCCTTGGGGAGGTCAGGGCCTCCACTCACCCTCCCTGGTGGGTTACCCAGGTGACTTGGCCACCTCCTGTCTCCCTGGCCCAGACTCACTCACCTAAGTTAGGCATGGCTCATATGGAAACCTCATCACTTCCAAAATGAGCTCGCAGACTGAATATTTCCGCAACAATATAAACCTCTCATTTATATATTTTATTTTTTGAGGCACCAGGAATCAGACTCAGGGGCCCTCTACCACTGAGCCACATCCCAAGTCCTTTTTATTTATTTATTTATTCATTTATTTTTGAGACAGGGTTTCACTAAGTTGCCCAAATCGGCCTTGAATTTGGGATCCTCCTGTCTCAGCCTCCTGAGCAGCTGGGATTCCAGGTGTGCATCATGCCACCTGGCTGGAGGGTTGTTTATTGTCACACCTGGAATGGGAGGGGCTTCTGGTTTTCAGTGGGTGGAGGTCCAGGATGCGACTACCCAGCCCAGGGGGGGAAACAGACCCTACCAGAGGGTTAGTTGTACCCACCTAAAGCAAGTCATTCCCACATTGTTTGTTCACAGATTAGTATTCTATACTCAATCACTTATTTAACCCATTTCCTGAGTGCTGATACCAGGCACTGGGGAGGAGATGCAAGACCAAGACACAGAAGGGGGCCCTACCCCCAAGGACTTCACTTTACCTTATATTCTCAACTCCCGATGGCAGGGGCCAGGATATCACACAACAGGATTCATGAATTCCGTGTTATAGTTAGGAAAAGAGGCTTGCACAAGATCAAAGTCAGGACTAAGAAGACCGAATCTGAACCCAGGTCTCCTAACTACAAATCCAGGGCTCTTTTCATTACTCTACACCATAAAATATTTGAGCTGGGTATTGGGGTGCAGGCCTATAATCCCAGAGGCTGGGGAGGCTGAGGCAGGAGGATCACAAGTTTGAGGCCGGCCTCAACAATTTAGGGCTAGGGGTGCAGCTCAGCGGTACGGCACCACTGGGTTCAGTCCCCAGTACCATAAAATAAGTTTTTTAATTTTAAAAGAAGTAGTTAGGATTCAATGAAACCGTAGGAGCTAATAAATGCCACCTACTGCGGACATCTCAGACACCGTGCCAAGGGTTCTACAGATTATTTTATGCAATCTTTTCCACCACTCCAGGTAGATGGCACTGTTCTTCTGCAAGGAGGTGAAATGACTGACACAAAAGTCCCCCGGACTGGAGGAAGCAGCTCCTGGATTCGCACAGAGTAGTCTGAACTCCAGACCTTGCCCTTTTACCCAGAAGCTGAAGAGCACATCACCCTGGGCCTCTGGCATCACCAGCATCCTCCAGCGAGCTCCCTTTTCTACAGCCAAACAGAGGGAGGCCCTGAAAGAGCCCAAGACTCCTCTAGGAAGCAACAGTCCAAGAAGAGGTGAAATCAACCCTACCATCAACCTAAGATCCTCATCTAAGATCCCCAGATCAGCCCGGGGGAAGCTGGAGGAGCGAGGTGGAAGATTCTCTATGAAATAAACAAAAACAAAAACGACAAAGGTCAGGCGTGGTGGTGCACGCCTGGAATCCCAGTGGCCTGGGAGGCTGAGGCAGGAGGACTACAAGATGGAGGCCAGCCTCAGCAATTTAGCCAGACACTGTCTCGATATTTAAAAAATAAAATAAAAAAAGGGGCTGGGGATGCGGCTTAGTGGTTGAGCACCCCTGGGTTCAATCCTTAAAACAAAAACAAAAACAAGAAAAACCACAAAGGCCCCAAGAATCAAAATTTTAAAAAAGTAGAGGGTGGAGGAGTGTGGAGTGGGACAAAGAGCTGGTGGTGGAGAATGAGAACAGGGTTGCCTGCAGAGGAAATCAGACCAATAGCGACCTTGCTGTTGGGGGAGGTTCCCAAGTGTGGCTTCGCTGACTTCTGCTCCCTGGACCCCGCTTCCCTCTGATCTGGCCACCCAAGCTAACGAAATTCCCCGCCTCCCTAGGTCCTGGGGAAGTGCCTGAACACACCCCACTGCCCCCCACCCCATTTCTAGCCACCAGTGTCAGGGGCTGTCGCTGACAGAGGGACAAGGAGACCCCGACATCCCCAGGCCTCAGGGACATGGCTGCACGCCCCCAGGGCAGTCCCTGAGGGGACCCCGAGGTGGCCTCCAGAACACACCTCCCCTCCATCTCCAGGCTCCGCTGAGCTCCCTGCACTTTAAAGGCCTCCGCTTCACTAATGAGGAAAAGAGGCCTCGTCTGCCGGGCCCAGCCCACAGGGAGGGGGCCCAGGCGCCCTCTGAAAGAGGCCGGTATTTGTTGTTTGTTGGTGGTGTTTTTTTTGTTTTGAACAAAACATAATCCGGGGCCTTGGGGAACTTGCAATCTGGCTGGCAAATGCAAAGGTCACTGCTTTCCAACCAAGGGCAAGCCGAGCCTGTGAAAGGAGACCCAAGGAGGGGTGCGGGGAAGGGCTCTCCCCAGCCCCAGGGGGTGCAGGGGGTCTGGGCAGAGAAGGGGCGAAGGAGGGCTTTGGACTTCTCAGTCAGACTCAGGTTCCCGGGAGCCGGGTCCAGGAGATGGCCCTGGTTTTCATTTGGTCCCTTCCCCCAGCCCACAGCGCTGCTCGGCCTCCGAGATGATTAAAACCAAAAGAATTTTAAATGTCTGGAATTCGCTTTCCACCACGGATGCCTTTTGGTGTTTTTTCTCTCTCCCCTCCCTGGTAATTTCTCCTCCTGGGAGAGCGTTCCCTCCTCTCTTCCGGCCCAGTTTGCCGGGAGACGATTCCCAGTCCACACCAGTTAACTTTGTTTTGATTTAGGGGAGGAGAGAGGGGGTTGGGTGTCTCACAAAGAGGAGGAGGAGGAGGAGGAGGAGGAGGAGGGAGGGTGGAGAGGCCTTGATCTTACTGGCTAAAGTTCCCAGAAAAAAGAAAAAAAAAAGAGAAGAAATAGCTTTCAGGGGGGAAAAAAAAATCTGCCAAATGTTTATGTTCCCACAAGACTCTGCAAAACCTTTTCAGAGACCAAAGCTAAAGTTCAGGGCGAAGCCAGAACATGTTTCTTCAGGGAGAAAATCTTATCAGCACGCACACACGCCAGCACCCACACCCTTGGTCAGGTCCCCACCTTCCCCCTGGGCAGGCTGGGCCATCCGCAGGACAGTGGGGGTGCAGGGGTGGGGTGTGGGGTACAGGGCTCCAGCTCACCTATCCCAAGTCCAGGCCAGATCTGAACATGGAGGAAATCCCTGGCTTCCACTGCGATTCCTGAGCAAACGCGGCTCCTCCCGGGACACCCCTGCTCTGGCCCTCGGAAACCAGGACCTGCAGCCATCGCTCACAAAATTCATCAGAGAGGTCCGGGGCCCCATTTGGGAAGAGCCAGTCCTTCTGGGGAACCCTCACAGGATGGCAAGCAGTCAGAGAACTGCAGCCAGAAGGTAGCTAGGAGACTGACCTTCTCATTGTATGCTAAGAAGACAGGCCCAGGTCACTGAGGAAGGCCACTCCATTAGGGGCACAAATGGTGCTAGAGCCGTATCTAGATGGGCAAGAGCACGTCCTTTCTTATTTTGAATCTGGGTCTTGCTAAACCTCCCAGGCTGGTCTCTTTTCCATCTCCATCCTCAACCTACTTGCAACTGGAATTACAAGTCCCCACCTCTTCCTTTAGGACTCACAGAGGCCCAGGCCACAGAGACCTGCTGAGACACAGAAATGAGGAACAGACACAGAAAACACACACACACACACACACACACACACACACACACACACACACACGGGAGGTTTGGATTCCAGTCCAGCTCTGTGTCTAACTCGCTGGATACACTGCCATCCTGGGCCTCTCTGATCCTTCATCTGGACCCGTGGTCTCTCTGGGTTGGAAGCCCAAGGAAGGTCCTGCGGCAGAGGCAGAGGCAGAGCCGTGGGCGCTCAGGTCCAGGGGTGAGGGCCCAGCAGGAAGGGCATCGTCTCCCTCCCTTTCCCCCTATTTCCGGTCCTGTGCTCTGACCCTGTGGAGCCGGGGCCCTCCAGGGTTGAGAACTCCACCTTTCCATGGGGCCTGGGTAGGACACGCCTGGAGTCCCGGCTTGCTTAGGAGTCTCACCCACCGGCTGCCAGGACCGCAAGTCGGAGGCCAGCCTGGGAGATCCAGGGAGGCCCCTGTTTTAAAATAAAAGATAAAAGGGGCTGAGGTGTGGCTCGGGGGCAAAGCACTCCTGACTGAATCCCCACTTCCAAAATGGAAAAAAAGAAAAAGAAGAACAGGACCTTTTCCAGTCAATCCACAAGCCTGGGTCCAATTTGGTGTGGTTTGGACCAATCCCTCTCCCTGAGCAGCAGCAGCAGCAGCGCTTCCCCATCTCGAAAATGGGAATGATGGGCACATTGGGGAGCCCCTGGCACAGCCTCCACCTGGGAAAGGGAGGCCTAAGTGCCTGGCCTCCCCCATCCTCTGAATTATCAGTGAACATCCTGGTTCTCTTCCAGGCTTCAGGCCCCAGATGTGTGTTCTGCTCTCCCCAAAGCAGAAAAGTTCCCCTGAACGGCCTCTCCCACTTCTGTGCGCCCCACTTCCCGGCACAGGGGCGCACCAACTCCCCTGGGGACCCCCTCCAGCTCCTCCTGCGCTGTGTGACCTGGGCTGCTCCTGCAGTACCCCAGGGCAGGCCGGGGGAGCCAGAGGCACACACCGCTCTGGGGATGAAGACTGGGCTCCAGTGGCGGGCCCTGCAGGGCGGGCCCAGGGTCCTGGTTCCCGCGGCCTCACCCCCTGGCTGCCGGCACCCCCCCCCGTCCCCCCAGCAGGGCTCTGCCCACCCTCCCCTGGTCTCCCTCTCCCCCCCCACCCCCTCTGCTGCTGGCTGGGAGCAGGAGGTTATGAAAATGAGCCGCATGCCCAGGAGACTGTAATTATCTGCTAAGTGTGAAAGCCAGAGTGATTAATTAAGAGATAATAAAAAGAGAAGGAGGGAGAGGGGGGGGGTCTCTCGGCTTTGCTTTGATGATAGAACCTGAGGTGAGCCAAGCAATTAGGGGAATCTTTATCGAGAGTTAGCTATAATCCACAAATTATCAGGCACCAAATGCTCCAGGAGCAGGGTGCATCTCACTCCCGCCGAGTGACAGACAGACGGACAGACAGGGAAGGACAGCAGGAGGAAGGGGGCCTGGGGAGCCTCCGGCTGGGGGGCGGGGAGAGCCGGGGCAAGGGGGCCTCAGGCTCTGCTGAGGGAGGCCAGCCACCGAGTGGGCTGCGCAGATTGTCCCCGTGCCGGCCACAGGCTGAGCTCCCAGGACCCCGGGCCATGGCTGTCCTATCCTCCTACCCTTGATAAAGGGGACACTACCCCTGAACACGTGCCGGCGGCCCCACAGGCTGGCGCTACCCTGCAAACACACAGCCTGTCACTGTGTCCACTCTGCGCTCCTCTCTGTGGGGACCACGGACCCGTCTTCTTGGAGGACCTCGTTCCACCCTGTCCTCAAGGGGACAGACCTCACGGGGTGCAGGGCTGCCTTGTGCATGTGGGAGCCTGTCACAAGGCTGGTGTGACTGCTGCAGGGGCCGCACTTGGCAAGGTGACCCCAGGGCTCCACATCTTTTCCTGGCCTCCACTCTGGTTCCAAAGCCCTCCTCCTCCAGGGGGCTCCCTACCTTCCCGTCTCTCCTTCCCACCTGGATCCATTCCTTCCTCTTGCCTTCCCTCCACCCTCCCAAGGAAACTTCCCTAACTGACTGCCCAGCTGCAGTTATTTCTAGTATTTTCTCTCCCCGCCCCCTTCAGTGCTGGGGATTGAACCCAAGGGTGATCCACTGCTGAGTCACACACCCAGCCCTGTTTATTTATTTATTTTGACACAAGGTCTCACTACGTTGCTAAGGGCCTTGCTAGGTTGACGAGGCTGGCCTCTGAACTTGTGATCCTCCTGTCCCAGCCTCTCAAGCAGTTGGTCTTACAGGCGTGCGCCACCGCGTGTGCGTGGTTTCTAGAGCCTCTTCTATCCTCTTCTGCACAGCAGGCGCATAACAGGATTCGAAATCCGCCCCCATTATTTAGATGATCTAGGTATTTATGTGTTTGTATCGTCTAAGTATGGGTTGCCAACTCCCCTATTGTAGTTACCTACCGAAGAGCAGAAATGGAGTCGTCTTCTCCCTCAAGTTCAGATTTAGAGCTAAGAGCTTGCGGATAGTCGGGTCCAGGGAAATGCCCAACTCCTTCCTCGGGTTAGGAGACTCCCAAAGGCAGGCCCCCCACGGAGGCTCCAACCTGCCCTTCCTCTGCCCACACTCATATTGCTTAGTGTCCACCCACACAGACTGGGCAGAGGAAGGACATCCTGTGATTCTGAGAGGACAATATTCCTGCCAGCACAGTTATTGACTGCGGTTTGGGCCACCCTGCCACCAGCCCTGTGCCCACTTCCCTCCCTACCTGGCTTCAGCAGCAGATGCCAGCATCTCTCCCCGCCTGCCACCCCCACCCCCGTGGCCAGAGAGATGGGAAGGACAGCAGAGCTCTCAGGCCCCCAGCTGCTCTGAGTTGC